AATTCAACTAATACGACTAAGGGTGTTAACATAGAATTTTATGCAACCTCTGCAGTGGACGAATAATTGAGTAAATCAGGCACAGTACTATTCCACTTATACTGAACTATGTCACCAGCCACCTTTCCACGTCCTATTAATAAGTCGAGCCTTCATGTCGTCACCGCAAGAAGTCCAATTCCACCGTAATAGAACAAGATAAATGTACTCAGCAGGATGGGACTTATATTTAGTGAAAAATAGGAAATGATTCTCTGTACGCAATTGCTAGTTATAATTATTTCGCTTGTATTGCACTGCTGTAACCAGGCTGACTGGTGCTGGTGGAATACTAAAATCAAGCGAATGATGCTTTGGTTATGCTGCAATTAGAAGAAAGAAATATAGAAGTAGCATAATTTTCTTTACTCCACTACGTCCTCTCACACCGGTTCATTCTTCTCCTTTTGTGGTTATGAGAGCATTTACCTGTGGCCTCAGCTGTCACATACATTACATTCTTTGTCAGGCAAATGGACGATGCGTTCATATTTAGGCGTCATTTTTAACCTTACACATCTATAATGCAATAATTAAAGAGTCTTCAGTAGCACTTACTTGTTTACAATCCTATGAGTAGTTTTCCTATCAAACATTTGTACCATCACCATTACTTTGTGGAGAAATTTTAAGTCGGATTCAAAATCAATCTCAAGAAGTCTCTCCAGACCATATACTATTACAGTTGTGGCAAAAAATATCAGTCGCAACTGCAACTTCCATATCTATCATAGACAAACGTATCTCTTGAAGAAATCCATAATTTCTTGGTGATCTGAAAGTGAATGACTATTAAAACTGATATTGTAACAACAGAAGACAAGGGCCAGGCGACAGATCGTTTATTAAGGAAAATCAACACATATTTATAGATTTTAATGTACATTATTGTAGATTATTGTTAGTAGAAAATACAGTCTTTTGATTGGTTGTTTCCCACAGAAAGTTAACCTTGCATCTCTTTGTGGCTGTGTCAAATCATCCATATGCTAACTGTATCCGCCTACGCAAAGCCTTAGTTGTCATTTTTTCACCGCCAATATTGGGGACATAAACATTGACGTCAATTACTGTCTACCAACTTTGGCTAGCAGCTAGCTCTCACCACAATATGACTGAGGTAACACGTATACTAGTAGTATGAGGGGCCTGCAGGCTACTCTTCGACAGAAACGCAGTACTAACTGTAGGCAGTGTGATATTTCAGAAGGACTATGCGCAGAATTCTTCTTACCCCAATGAGCAGTAATATCAGGATATGTTAGTGCGATTAGATGCAGTAAGCAGTTACGTTCTTCCAAAATTCTGTGTAGCAACGCAAACTCCACTAATATCTCATCTCAAGGTGGGCAGATATAAGCATGAACTTCATCAAAATGCACATAATCACTGCGGAATTGAGCCTTTTGTCTCATTCACCGTATGATTTCTTAGATGTGTTATGAAGGATTTCACTCATCACGGATGAAAATAAAAGTGCTTAATCTCCTCAGAACAGATATCCGACCTATGTGTGTGGGCTTAGTCTCTATCAAAAGCCCAAATCCTATAGAATTACTGCTAAGACGTTAACCATTGCTTGTAGTCAATTTACAACCTGGAAATCTAAAAACCACTGGCAAATATCAAACTTTTAACGCTCTCAAACAAAAATAAAAGTCATTTCTGTGAGTGCCTTTCTTCGTAGCAATTCTGCTGAGATATCAAGACAATTTTGCTTATTAATACGAACACAATGCAAGAAAATATCTATATTTTCGACTGCAGAAGCCTAAAACTGATTAAATGTACTCCATTTTCACAAAAATAAGCGCTTATAACACCTCAATAGTCATGAACACGATAACCCATACAATGCGCCAAAATACATCGCTATAGTCCTTATCCTCAACAGTGTACTCAGGTCTACAGTTTTGAATTTCGCACAGAGGTCATTCCCGAAGCGCTATTTTGGACTTGTGGGGCTCCAACTGCATTTTTGATTCATGGTCTTGTGCGCGATTCTTACATGTAGGAATACTCACTAAAGTTGCTTTGTATCATATTATATTTTCTCTTCTAAGATTCTTGATTGAAAGCCGTTTTCACGTTACATAAATAATAAATGATAGAAGCCTAACGTTAGACGTGTACACACCTTTGGGAGTTCATTTTTTCCAATGGAGTTGTAACTTGGGCTCTCAAAACAGATTCAACAGGGCCTGTTATCTCACTTTTGGTGGCTACCTTACCACTGATTTTGGGCAAGTTCTAATAACTGACTTCGTGAGAAGCAGTACATACTGCTATAGTCTTGGCAAAGTTGACCACAGATAATGTTCTCGGTTTCGCTTATGTTTTTGCCTCTACTTATTAATATCCCACACGATCACAGTCTTCTCGTAAGACCAGTTACCTTCACACATGTATATTTCACTAACTTCAATTAATCCATTATTCGCATGGTATTCTAACACTTGATCTTCCCGGAATTCGTTTAGAAAATCTAGAACGATGGGTAAAATCTTGTTTGGTCATATCACCTGTAACTCTAATTGGTGATCGAAGGTTGTGTTACAGGGTGGCTACTATAGTTTAGCTTCACACTTTCGGGCAATCCTCGGTAGATAGCTCAATTCAATTCATGACCAAAAATTGTCATAATTTCTGCCTAAGCATTTGCGAAACCTCACTTTTTGCGTGTTTTCATATATTACCTGAAAATTTTATAAACATTGGATAATTGCCTTGTTTATTATTTAGGAATATAGCAGTTTCTTTTTTAGCTAAATTGACTATTGGTAGAATGAGATTAATAAAAATTTAGTGTTTTGTAGATGTTTGAGGTGGTTCTGTGCACAGCTCTGTATTTATTTCTGCTCAATTATGATAGACAAGGTATTTACGCAGTCTTTATGATTATTCCGCTGTACGCCATCTGTATTTATTGACACCCCTGTGTGTCTGGGTATTGAATAGTTGCATCAGATAAGTACTGTATCTTAATAATAGGCTGCTTGTCAGCTGTAAATAATAGACTAAAATGATCTATGTGGTTGTTTGTTTTAATCGATTGCCTTTGGGCTTTTTACTAAATATACACTACCCATTTCACTTACTACTAATACTGCGACTACTACTAAATAACAGCTTTTTATCCTGTGTTCTGATTGTGAAACATAGAATAACAAATTTTGTTCTCACTTCAAGTTCCCTTCACGCTGCTAATCAGAGTCAGAACTTTTCAACAAGCTACAAGACTTTAGCGTACTTAAGTAACTCCACATATTCCTAGTTGTAAAACTTGTTGTATCAGTTGTCTTGAGTTAGTCCGTAGTTTTCAGCCAGTTTGGTATACATTGTGACATCAGCAAATCACTTTCGCAATAATTATATTGATTTGAGACTTGTATTCGTTGGTTGGCTTCCACTTCACAGTGTTAGCGTTGTAATGTCCTAGATGAAAGGTTCATTTCCTAATGTTATCCCATTTTGTAGTCAGATCTTAAACTGATCATCAGATATCTTTCAAAGTTGTTAATAATTGTTTTATATAAACAACTCACTATATTTTCAGACTGTTCAGGGAAGTCAAGACATTGGAGATAAGGAAATGTAACTCTGTCAGCTGGCTAGTGGATGCTTTACTCCCAGCTATTTTATTAGTGGTTCAAATCCATTTCACACACGGTGACTTGTAAGTCTCTACCTGGGAAAGAAATAACTAAATGCCTATCTGGGGTGGTTGACAGAAAGGCGTAACCTGAGGAAGTCTGGCATAATATCCAGTCAGCTATAGAAATAGTGGTGAAGGCTGGTGACTACCGAAACCAAAGGTTAATAAATGCCGATGGATTTCTATTGCTTCTTCCGAACTGATGGAAGTAATGAGGCTGGTTCCAGCGGACTTGGAGTGTGGCCAGGAGCGAAAGCTGCTCAGATGCAAAGTGATTAAAAGTTTTCGCAACGTTTTGTAGCATAGTGGTGAAGTGTTGACTGGGTTAACGAAGATATTGGATAATGTTTGTTCATCCGAGATGTTCCCGTTGGACTTCTGTGAATAATTGGTCATCCCATTTAAGAGAAGGGAGACAAGTCTTCGTTTAATCAGGGGGTCGTTGTTAGGTTGCCTAATATAGTATCTAAACCAATGGGTCCAATAGGCATGTGCAGACTGAACTGTGTTCGGACGAAATAAACCCGTGAAATTCAGACAGGCTTTAGGACCGGATGAAGGCGTATTGATGATGTCTTCACTTTTCTGCAGATTCTGAAACACAGGCATACCTTCCGAAGTTCAACCCTTGCCATATTTCTTGACCTGAAGGTAGTGTTTGTGTCCGTCGACGGAGAGGTGCTTTCTAGGTGTTTATTCGTAAAGGAATTGTCGAGAAAGTATGTCATACTAATGAAAACGCTAACTCTACTTGAATTAACACAACCGTGTAAGAGCTTGTGGATACTTGTCATCTAAAGTGATGACAAGCAGTGGTGTCCATCAGGGATACCCAAGTTCTACGTGTTTTTGTTTGATTGTCTCATAGGTGTATCAGTGGATGTGACCTGAATCGACTAAGGTATTAACTAGTTAGCATGGAAGTGTTTCGTTGATTTAGTGTATGAGGGGATGATATAGTCCTTCTAGTAGAGAACACTGGGTAAAATGCAGGATCTTCAATTGGAGGAGATTAATGAAAGGTTGAAAAGCTGCAAGTGGGATGTAAAAGTCACGGAATCATATGTTAGGAACTTAAGAATATATATAGCCTTAATACAAGTGGGTTATTGTGACTGACTTATACTGGGAAACTTCCTGGAGTTTCAGCATCTAACTATTCAATGGATATAGAATATTTTAATCTTTCACTGAAGTTACTCCACTTTCTGTGTAAACATTCCTTTTTTTTCTATTCTTCACTTTAGGTTATTCACTGAATGATTTATGCAACTTGTAAAATATATCCACAGTCTTATAATCAAAGATGAATCGTTTGCGTAGAACATTCAGTTTCCGAAAACGTAAAAAGCAGAATAAAAGTGAGGCGAGTGATTCTTCGAAGCCGCAACAATGGCTAGATGATGAAGTTAAAATCAAGGAAGGATTTTGTAGCTTTCAAGTTAAAGTTTGTTTTGTTATAGTATGAATTAGTATTTGACTTTTATCCTAGTATCTGGGTAATATTGAAGTGTATGAATCTAGAGGAATGCAAGTATGTGAAGAAGCAATTAAAGCTTTAAGAAAATCCAAGGTTTGCTGTATTTTTAAAAATTTAAATTAACATTGTATTCAATTTAGAAAAAACCTCAAAAAGCTATACTTTCTGTCAGCGGTGATGCTCTACGTGTTTCAGATGATGTCAGCCAGGTAATTCATTTTTCGCACGTATCATTTACCTGTTTTAAGCATCTTATTGTAGATCAAACTATTGAAAAAGTGTCTTTTTGTGCTCCTGATAGAAATCATGAGAAAGGTTTCGCGTATATATGTCGTGATGGTGCAACTCGCCGTTGGATGTGTCATGCCTTTTTAGCTGTCAAAGAATCTGTAAGTGTCTCACTTTTTCTTACACTTTTTTTACTAATATCGTTAGCATATTATATATATATTTTCACGGGTTGATTTGTAAGCAGTTAATTTGTTTTTCGAGTTTGAACACGGATTGGTATCAGTTAGAGAACCATTGAAAACCAGGGAGTACTGGATAAATCAACCCGTGAAAATTAGTAATAATAATAATAATAACAATAATGATAATAATAATGATTTACTTTATTCCGAAAACAGTATTTGTGATACAGAATGGAATTTTCAGCATTAATCACAATATTGCATCTAATTTCCACAAATTATCAATAAAATTAATCACACAGAAAATTTTCGACATTTACAATATAGATAATGTCAAAAACATGCAGCATATAAAATGGAAATAATAATAATAATAATGATAACAGCTAAGGTAATAATAATAATACAAGTGAAAATTGCCGTGGGCTTGTTTCACACAGTATTGTCGATGTGGTATAGAAATCCTGGCATGTTTAAAAATATTGAATATAATGTTCTCTTTACATGATATGGTGAGGGGAAAAACAAAGATTACAGCAGTCATAGAGATAAGTTGGTGTTTGCAATTATGAAAGTAAAACAAAGAAGCAACAGGATCATGTGCCTCGGTGGCACAGCGGTTAGGACACTCGCCGACCATGCATATGGTCTGGGGTTCCATCCCCGGCTGACGCACTCCTTTACCTCGCTAAGTCAGAAATAATGCTGGTAAAGCGGAAAGGTTGGGCATGAGGCTACCAACCGCATCCTGTAAAACTAAACACTGACAGAAACTTCAAGCCACTAGCTTGAGGCCCTATGTTTCACTAGGAACGTGAAGGAAAAAGACAGGACCATAAATATAATAGAAATAATAAAAGTAAAACTTGAAGGTATATAAACATGGATGGAGAAGATTGTTTATTTACTAGATGAAAAAAGGTTAGTCAGTCAATTCTTGCCTGACACTATTTTCACCACATAAAATACGTACCAAGTATGGTATCATAAAATTTTTATACTTAGACGTGTGAGCATACAGTTTTCTGAAGTTACTTCTTGTTCTACCTGAGGAGATGCAAGGTGAAAGCTGAGGGTAAAGTGGATGCTCCATGTCAGACAAAATCCCTCTAGCAAATTTATTGCACGAAGTCAAGTGTCTATCGACAACGACGTTAAACATGTGGTCCACTGGGACACCACTCATCCTACTGACCGTCTTCAGCATTCTACTAATTGTGACATAGTCCTTTTTAGGCAAACCAGGAAAGAATAAGGGTGAACAATAAAGAAGAATAGGTAGGATGCAAGAGTTTATGAACTGTAAGAGGAGGGTTGAGTTATACCCGAGTGCCTTAACTTCTTAATGTAAAATGTCAGGCGGAATATTTTACCGGAGATCGCTGAGACATGGGAAGACCAGGAGAGATCAGAAGAGAGAATAAGTCCAAGGTACTTCATTTCTGATTTAATTCCTATATCATTGTCATCAATCTTACAACTGTCATGGCTTCTTTTAACTGTCGTTTACATCTTAAGCTGAAATTAACAGTTTGACATTTAGAAGGATTCAGTTTAAGACCGTTAGACTCAGAACATCTGGTGACAACTGTAATAAAATAAGGGAATACGTATGCTCGTCAACAAAGGAGGTAGTCAGGGTTAGGGGTTCCTAGCCAAAGCGCTTGTGAACCTCGGCAAACTTACTAACTGGTATAAATAAACCCAGATTACAGTGCCTATCGACAACGACGTTAACTATGTGATCCCCTGATTTGATGCTCGCCAGTGACTTGCTACGGGATGGAGTTTCCTGGAGTTCATGTGAGAAGTCGTGACCAGTGAGGTGCATCCAGCCAAATGTGAGGATGGATTTCCCGCCGATGACATTAGTTGGTGGTCGTGCTAAAACTACTAATAAGTAGAAGTTAGAATTCATGGGCCATTGAATTGGGTCCCATTGGCTGAATGGTATATATATATATATATATATATATATATATATATATATATTTATAGCACTTTTGATACGTTATTATATGTCACGTTCTTAATGTCATTTGTATCAATATTCTAGTCACAATGAATGTTGAGTTTATATTTTTAAATTTTTTGATTCAATCAGGGTGAACGTTTATCTCATGCTGTTGGATGCGCATTTGCAATATGTTTAGAAAAGAAACAAAAACGTGAAAGAGATGCTCTTCAATTGGAGTCTTCAGATGACCGTCCAACTTTTGCTCGAGTTGGCTCTTTCCGACCAGTAAGTTTCTCTAACACTTAGAATAACTTGACTTTACAGAGGTATATAGAGGATATTAAAAGTGCATGCAGTAAATTTTCTTTTTCAACAAAGACACAATTTTGGGATCTATATAATGATATTTATATTTGATTGCGTGGAGGATTTCATCATGAGCTGACATCAGTTAGGGAACCACTGGAAAACCAACTGGGAGTACTGGACAGCTGTTTCGTCCTAGTGTGGGACTCTTCAGCAGCACGCGCCCACCGGGATTCGAACCCAAGACCTTCTGGTTACAAGGCGAGCTCATAGACCTTTGAGCCACTGGGACCCGATCCAATGGTCCTTGAATTCTAACTTCTGCCAATTCACGACATAGCGTGACCATTTCGCAATATCTTCTTCGATGAGTTACTGCCTCATCTTCAACCTGCTGTACCCTACTGGTCACTGCTTCCCACTAGAACCCCAGGTTAACTGCCTGAATAAGGCCAGTCACTAGTGAGCATTAGATTAATTTTCCTGGTGGGTGCGTAGTGCTGAAGAGTCCCACACTAGGACGAGACAGCTGTCCAGTACTCCCAGTTGGTTTTCCAGTGGTTCTCTAACTGATGTCAGCTCATGATGAAATCCTCCACGCAATCAAACAAAATCCCTACAAAGCCAATACTTGAAAATATTTACATTTCCTTGAATTTACAACACTCTGTTATTGAATAATTGGGGAATAGTGATGAATGATATCACTAAAACAATGACAGAACCAGTTTTTAAGTACAAGAAGATTAGGAAATAAGGATGAAATATCCAGCGATGCCATATAGTTCTCAGTTCTGTTCAATTTGTTCTAAAAATCTTTTCAATAAACTGAAAGCTCTATCCCTAACACTATGCTTCACTAGCTGATCGTGCAGGTGGGAAGGCGGCGGGGGGAGTTCAAGTAACTGTACTTGCCACTTTGCAGTCTCGTTAAAAGGAGGTGATTGAGACTTGTCTAGTATGGGACGGAGTGTCACCCTTTCGCTCTTAGATCCCTGATTAAGTTAGTTGTTATGTCTCCTCCTGCTTTCTGGGTTGGATCTTTCATTAGTTAGTTTCGATTTCTGAAACTTTCTTTCGCCATCTGGAGTATGGAATTCATCTTGTTAATATAATCACGTCTGCGTCCATATTTACGTTTACAGGCCTCTTATCCGGTTTGGATACCTTTCCCTTTATTGATATGATAAAAGATTTGAACACAACTGGCAAAAATATGTAGAAGCAGTAGGATTACGTAATAATTGATAAACAGTGGGAGGAGTAAAGGTGTGGTATTTGATCAGATGTAGATCACTATTGGATCACTAAATGCTCGGACTGCTTTCGCTAACTTACACCATCTCTGGCGTAGGCGTGACATCCGGCTATCAACCAAGGGACGTGTGTACTGCTCACCACTTCGCTCCGTCCTTCTCTATGGCTCTGAAACATGGCCAATTCGAGTTGAAGACATGAAAAGGTTGACTGTTTTTGATCATAGATGTCTACGATCTCTTTCTCACGTAAAGTGGCATAATAAGGTAAGTAAGTAATGTTGACGTCAGGCGTAGAGTGTTGGGCAAAGAGGGAAAATCAATCGACGAGGTTATAAAGTTACATAGATTGAGATGGCTAAGTCACGTGGTGTGCATGCCTAACCACCGCCTCCCCCACCCCGACGGGCATTACTAGCTAGCTGATATAGGTGCAGGTTGGAAAAGAGTAGGCGGTGGCCAAACAAAAGCATGGCATCAATTAATCCATGAAATCCTTGACAGTTAAACTGAGTCAAGTCAGGTAGGGAGATGCAGAGATCCGGGTTGGAGCCCTCGGGACTCTAAGAATCAATGGCTGGAGACAGACAATAGGTGACATGGCTCAAAATCGTTTTCAATGGCTTACGCAGATGTATTCAGTCTCTGTAATATTCAGTCTCATATTCCTTTCTACCATTACTCACTCTGTTTCACTCTTATACTTATCTAAATTCTATTGATTCTCTTCACTCATTTTCCTGTCTACCTTTGTGTGCTCTTTGGAACGTGACAACTCGAACTGTCGCACTTCGGTGCCAAGTTCTGTGTTGAATCGAGACAGACAGACAGGTGCTGGATGAATGAGGTGCTTAGTTGGGTTGCCCAGAGAGCTTGTATCTGAAATTTAGCGGCTTACTTGCGCACTTACTATCTACTCAGCAGTGTCAGGAACACAACCAGAACTTTACTACTTGCGTTTCAAGTTGACAGTGAGTTATGCATTGTGTTCAGAACATAATCTAGTAAATAATGCTGTATCCCTTCAAACCAAAACTTGAAAGTCAATTTCATACTCAGCAGTGACTGGCTGCAGGTTGGAGCCTACTAGGGCGGGGTCGCCCAAGTCCTTTGTGGGAACAAATACTCACCAGTGACACTGGCTGAAGGTGGTGCTATATATATCACGAATTGGTGGAAATTAGAATTCATTAGTGGTTGGATTCCTTCCAAATGACTGTACGGTTGACGGTTGACCTGAAGGCCCTGAGTTTGATCTCTAGTAGTGGGTTTGAATACGTACTGTTGAAGAGTCCCAAATTAGGACGAAACCGCTGCTTGTTACTTAAGATCTAACTTTAAACAGATCACATCTTTGCAAAGCAACACTTGATAAGTAGCATGTCTAACGAACAAAGCAACATGAGATTGCATTCTACTTTTAACAAAAAGTTTTTTAATTCCTTTACGTTCCCAGTGGCACATAGGGTTTCAAGCTAGAGGCTTGAAGTTTCGGTAGCAGTAGTGTGTTTATTTTCACGGGATGGGGTTGCTAGCCTCATGCCCAACCAACCTTCTCTCTTTACCAGTCTTATTACCTACTTGCCGAGGTAAAACAGTGCGTTGATCGGGGATCGAACCCCGGATCACATACTTAGTCGGCCAGCATTCTACTGCTGTTTTTTTAATATTTTTTAATATTTTGATTTACAGCTTGATTCCACACCGTATTTTCAGTACAAGTGTGGGATTTTCAGCATGGATATCGGTAGCCCAAATTCAGGCCGACCATAGATATCGGGTGTGCGCCGGCAGGGGATCGAACCCCGGACCATGTGCATGGTCGGCGAGAGTCCTAACCACTGAGAAGTATTCTTCTCTTCTCTGAAACATTCAGCTGATATGTGTATGTCCTTATACAACTAGAAGATGAAATTATTAAGAAAAATTGTTTGTTGAGAATTTATTGTCCTTAATGCTTGGTGAGAATCCTTAGTAGTATTAGCGAAACAGGTTGTTTAGTTTGAATATTATATAATTGCCAATTGAATGTAATTACAAAGTACAAATCGAAAGGTAAATATGTAATCGAATTGGATTTCTGTTATACACTTGTTCTTTGAACATGGCATTGTATTGATCAACTTTTCAGTGTAAAGTGAGAGCAATAGACCTTCAATAGAAAGTTGAATGTAAATGTGAAACTAATCTGATGTTATAAAATCCACACTGATCATTGATAATGTTGTTACTAAAGAAACGTCTAAACATCTCTATTGTAGTCTAGGTAGCACTACTGCACTACACTGCATCAGCTTTGTACGAGAACAAATGTTCTGATGTCCATAAATCAGAATACTAAAGAAGTCTAATGAAAGTGTTATCCCCCAAACCATAATCTAACATAGTATTTCCTTCTAAATTTAAATAATAAATATCAATTTTCTGAGATGTGATCACCTGAATTCTTTTCTTCTTAGCTTGTTTTCTTGACTTTTATATCTGAATCACCCTGTAGTTACTGCATCTCAATGTGTTTGTCCTTTGTAATAGACGCGACAATATTCTCTAGAGGTTCTGCCTGAAATATTCGGGTTGATGCGTTCGTTGGCTAAAAGTAGTAAAATACATTGGCAGGTATCGATCGATATCTTTCCTGTTTGTCCTAATGCCACTTTACCGAGAAAATGGACATGTAACTACCACGTGGAGTTGCATCAAGGGCTTATGCAACTTCCCAACGGTTTGATCACTGACGAAATCTCTGCACGGATACAGAAGACTAGTTTCGTTCGCATATGCCAGTTTACGCCGTCTCTTGCGTAAACATGATATCCAGCTATCAACCAAATGACGTATGTAGTGCTCAGCAGTCCGCTTCGTCCTCCTCTATGGCTGTGAGCGAGACCTGGCCATTCAGAGTGGAAGGCATGAAAATGCTGGCTAGCTGTCTTTGATCATAGGTGCCTACGTCCTATCTCCCGTGTGAAATGGTATAATACGGCGAGCAATATTGATGTTAGGCGTTGAGTGCTAGGTAGGTGGGAGGGGAAATCAATCGACGAGGTTGTGAAGCATCTGCGTCGATTGAGATGGTTAGGACATGTATCAAGCATGCATGCTTAGCCATCGTCTTCCTCGACGGGCGATGTTAGCTGACAGGGTGGACCAAATTGGAAAAGAGTTAGCTAGTGGTGGTCAAACAAAAGCGTGGCCTCATCAGTCAATGAAATCCACAACAGTTAGTTTAAGCTAGCTACGTAGGAAGGTGTGGACTTCCTGGTTGGGGTCCTCGGGACGGTAATCACTGATGGCTGGAGACAATTGGTGATATGGCTCGAAATCGTTCTCAGTGATGGCGCAGATGCATTCACTGTTTATGATTTATAATATCCAATGAAACTCCATTGTTCTTTCATATTACTGTTCTCATATCTCTCTTTAGTGTCTCTATTTTGCATTTCTTTTTACTTTCTTCTTCTTGTTCTCTGGCTTTGTGTGCTGAGTCAAGTGTGGCGACTCGAACTGCTTCATATCGGTACAAAGTCCTGTGTTGAAACCAGTCAGTGAGTCAGTGTGACTGTAGAGCAGTGGGAAAATCTGTTTGTGACAAGTTACGTGCACGTCATTTAGTCACGTTGAGATTTATGGGGGTTCATTCGTGCGAAACTCTTGCCTGCCAACTGTAGGACCTTGTAGGGTAGTTTGGGATGTACAAATTTTGTCAATGATTTTATTCAATCCATCCTTCGCAGAGTTGAAAGTTAGCATAGATAGGTTACTCGCCATTAATAGGAAACACCTTACTGCTGTCACATCCCCGTCTCATTACAACTTCAACTTTATTCCCCATTATAATATGAGCAGCTTAAACTGTCATAGCCGATCTTTATTGCATGGCACGATCTCCGGAAATAATAGTTCCTTCCCAATGAAACGCATAGGTTTACTAGGATATGCGAGTCCAACCATTGGTCAAAGGTAGCAGCTAGCATTTAGAAGAGTTTTTAGGTTGACTGTGTCGGATATTCGCTATGTTAAAAGTCGGTAGTTGTTGAATTTTTGTGTGAAATGTGTGAGAATCGTTTACACTAGTGAAGATAAATTCATTTTCTTTTCCAATGGAGGTTATTAACTCTTTCCCGAACTTCTCAACTATTCTTTCTCATCTCACTCATTTTTTCCACTGTTGTATCATCTTGTCATTCTATTTATTTGAGTGAGTTGTTGTTCCCTTGGGTTCTAAGTGGACCAGAAGACTTCAACAGCATACCTTCATTTTATCCTGTTCTCTGCACACTCCTCGTTAGCTGGCTACCGACGATTTTCCCTTTAAGCTTTCATCTCCTCACACGGTCTCCTCCATGTCACCTTCGGACTCCCAACACGCGTCGTTCCCCATTTGGGTTCCACTCGAGGGCGTAGTTTGCGATGTCGCCCAACGGTCTCCTCTGTGTGTGTCCGATTCATCTCCACTTTATGCTTCATATTTCGGTCGGTTTTCCACATAGAACTTCGCACATATGTGCGGCAGTTCAAGTCGCCACACTCCCCCCTCGTAGCACACAAAGCAACAGAAGAAAGTAGGAGAAATGCATGCTATAGACAGTAAACAGAGGTGTAAGACAAAGGAATAGTAATAACGAAGAACAAAACAGTTTAGTTGGAAATCATAAGTCACAAGGAGTGGATGCATCTGCGCCAGCCATTGACAACGATTTTGAGCTAGCCATTTCACCAATTGTTCCCAACCTTCATTGGTTTTTACCGTCCCGAGGACCCCAACCAGTCAGGAAGCCAGTGTACACCTTTCTACGTGGCTGGCTTGGACTAACTGTTGTAGATCTCATTGACTGGTGAAGCCATGTTTTGGTTTGACCGCCGCTAGCTCTTTTTCAGTCTGACCCTATATCGGCTAACATTGCCTGTCGGTCGAGGAAGGCGATGGCTAAGCATGCATGCTTGACACATGTCCTAAACATCTCAATCGATGTAATTTCACAGTTTCGTCGATTAATTTCCCCGCCTTACCCAGCACTCGACTAATGCCTTACCTCAATATTGATCACCTTATTATACTACTTCACGCGGGAGATAGAACGCAGACACCTATGATCAAAGACAACTAGCTAGCCTTTTCATGTCTTTCACTCTCAATGGCCAGGTCTCACAGCTGGCCATATAGGAGGACGGAGCTTACTGATGAGCTTTACACACGCCCTTTGGTCGACAGCCAGTCGGATGTCACGTCTACTAAGCCAGAGACGGCGTAAACTGGCATATGCGAGCGAAACTAGCCCTCCGTATTCGTGCTGAGATTTCGTTGGAGATCAGCTCGTTGGGACTGATGGTCAGCGTGCTCTACCACTTCACTTCCTATTTCTAATCTGGGGATCGGTGTAGTCCAATCCTGTAACATCATCTCACATTTTACAGGGGCGAATCGCATGCCAAACATACGAAGATTGCAGCTCAAGGTGTTCAGAAGACTGCTGTATTTTGTCAGCGTCCTCGCCTAGAAGGACTATATCGTCTGCATATTCTAAGTTGACGAGATTATTCCCTGGTAGCAAGTCAATCGCTGAGTCTCTGAAGTGCGTTAGCGTTAAGTCCATTAGTACATCTACGATGAAGTTGAATAGGAATGGGGATAATGGGCATCCTTGTCGGACGCCACTAGTCGTCACCACTTCAGATGACAACTCGCCAAAAAGCCCTCACCTGGCTGCATGAGTACGAGTAGAGTGCCTTAATCAGTGCAATGTATTTTCTCGGCATTCCTTTTACAGCCAAGCATCGCCAGAGAACCTCTCGGTCGACAGAATCGAATACCGCCTTTAGGTCAAGAAATATAATGAGTGTTGGACGCCGGTAGGAATGACTATATTCTAGAATCTATCGGAGGGTGAAGATATGATCAATACACCCTCTTCCTGGCCTAAAACCTGCCTGGTTTTCTCGTGTTTGTGTCTCCCGAGCACCACTTAGTCTACGCAATATTATTGAGCCTAGGATTTTAGAGACTATATTAGTCAAGCTAATCCCTCTGTGATTATCACAAGAAGATTTCATATTTGTTAAACAGAAGGTTCTTGATTGGTTTGTTCCCGGAGTTTCTTCTTCCTGATTCTTTCTGACCATCTGACCATCTAAGCATGGTAACTTGGAATGAAACACTTTTTGTGTAGAGTTCCATGTTGATTTATCAGTCGGTTAAAAATGGTTAAGCAAGCGCTGTTTGATATTTTCTTTTTTTACGCTGTATTTCACGTGTTTTTCACACTGTTTCTTTTTTTGTTTTCAAAGGCTACACTGGCTGAACGGTTATTAGATCCCCAGTCAACAATTACAGCTGAACCACTACCAGCCTCCAATAACCCACCTTCAAGTTCACCTACTGGATTAAGCCGTGTATCATCACCAATTAGCCATAGTGGAGCTATCCCACGTCCTCATGCTAGTCCATCTATTATTGAGCGTCAGGTACGTACGTTTCTTACCTTCTAAATTGTCGGCTGATATATATATTCAAATATTAGTTGATCTATTCATATCCATCCTCTAATCATATGAATATATGATGGGCAGTTAAACACACATTAACTCTCCAATAAAACAAGTTTTGATAGGATTCATAAGTTATTGGTTTTTATAGACAAAGACTTTTGGCAAGTGGTCATTATTCTTGTTTGAAGATTTTTATTTTATTCCTTCACATTCCCAGTGGAACATAGGGCTTCAAGCTAGAGGTTCGAAGTTTCTGTAGCAGTTTTTATTTTTACAGGATGGGGTTGCTAGCCACATGCCCAACCATTCCTCTTCACCAATTGGATTGGTCACACTCTGAGAAAACCATCAAGTGACATCACATGACAGGCTCACATGCAAGTGAATACGTTGGAATGGCTGATCGTTGCCAAGATCACTCATTCTGATATCCGAATCAATAGGGCTGTGGTGGCGGTCAGGAATGAACTTGTCATTGGTCCTGAACTCATAGATAGGAATAAACTCTCGATTGGTGAAATAATACTGTTTGTACAATTATATGCTTAACCCCCACTTTATTGAAATTTCAAAATAACATATACAAACAAACAAATGGGGGGTGATAATGGGATCACCAGTCTCCGCAATAGTTGCAGACATACGGATAATTGGGAATGGGAAGCTCTTAATAACGTTTAATCCTGCTCCTAGGTTATGACAGGGATATGTGGATGACACATTCACTGCGTTAAAATCTAAACATATCCTTGAGTTGTTCACAAATATTTTAACCATGGAGTAGGTGGAATCCAATTCACCTTTGAGTTCGAAAATCAACAAGGTGAGTTAGCTATGTTAGACTCTAAAGTGGAACGGAAACACGATACTGGGTTGGATACTAGTATCTATAGAAAACTGGCATATTCTAATAAATACTTGTCTCTGTCTGTTTTCGACATAGAACTTTGCACGTATATGCGCCAGTTCAAGTCGCCACACTCCCTCCTTTTAGCACACAAAGCAACAGAAGAAAGTAGGAGAAATGCATAATATAGACAGTAAACAGAGGTGTGAGACAAAGGAATAGTAATAGCGAAAAACAAAATAGCTTCATTGGAAATCATAAGTTACATGGAGTGGATGCATCTGTGCCAACCATTGACAACGATGTTGAGCCATGTCACCAATTGTTTCCAACCTTCATTGGTTTTTACCGTCCCGAGTACCCCAACCATCAGGAAGCCAGTCTACACCTTCCTACGTGGCTGGCTTAGACTAACTGTTGTAGATTTCATTGACTGGTGCCATGTTTTCGTTTGACCGCCACTGGCTAACTCTTCTCCAGCCTGACCCTATATCAGCTAACATCACCCGTCGAGGAAGGCGATGGCTAAGCATGCATGCTTGACACATGTCCTAACCATCTCAATCGATGCAGATGCTTCACAACCTCGTCGACTGGTTTCGCCTTTTTACCTAGCACTCGACGCCTAACATCAATATTGCTCACCTTATTATACCACTTCACACGGGAGACAGAACGCAGACAACTATGATCAAAGACAGCTAGCCGGCTTTTTCATGTCTTCCACTCTCCATGGCCAGGTCTCACAGCCATAGAGGGGTAGGAAACGGACTGATGAGCACTACACACGTCATCTGGTTGATTGCTGTATATCACGTCTACTAAGCCAGAGACGGCGTAAACTGGCATATGCGAGCGAAACTAGCCCCCTGTATCCGTGCAGAGATTTCGTCGGAGATCAACCCGTTGGGGCTGATGGTACTTTCGAAGTGAGTGAAGCGGTCAAGGTGCTCTACCACTTCACTTCAATGTTTCTGGTGTTCCTTCTTTACACAGTAGTACTATATTAAGGCCATAAATCTCTCATTGTTTATATTATCTCCACTATTTATATCACTACTCCTATTCTCTTTAAGGGTCTTGATACATTTCTGAATAAAATCTTATTGGTAGTTATTGGCTATTACTGTTTCCCCTTTATTTGTTTGATTCCATTACTTAAATCTCAATTGCTATTTAGGCTATTGGCTCGGTTATATAAACACTTAACTAAAATTACCTTTACCGATTTTGGGTGGGATAAATCAAAGAACAAGTATTTATTAGAATATGCCAGCTTTCTATAGATACTAGTATCCAACCCAGTATCGTGTTTCCGTTCCACTTTAGAGTCTAACATAGCTAACTCACCTTGTTGATTTTCGAACTCAAAGGTGAATTGGATTCCACCTACTCCATGGTTAAAATATTTGTGAACAACTAAAGGACATGTTCAGAATTTAACGCAGTGAATGTGTCATCCACATATCCCTGTCATAACCTAGGAGCAGGAGCTTCCGATTCCCAATTATCCATATGTCTGCAACTATTGCGGAGACTGGTGATCGCATCATCACCCCATTTGTTTGTTTGTTTGTTTGTATGTGCGATTTTGAAATTTCAATAAAGTGGGGTTTAAGCATATAATTATACAAACAGTATTATTTCACCAATCGAGAGTTTATTCCAATCTATGAGTTCAGGACCAATGACAAGTTCATTCCTAACCGCCTCCACAGCCCTATCGATTCAGATATCAGAATGAGTGATTCTGGCAATGATCAGCCATTCCAACGCATTCACTTGCATGTGAGCCTGTCGTGTGATATCACTTGATTGGATTGGCCATACTCTGAGAAAACAACCCATGAAGTGACATCACTAGACAAGCCATTGCTCCAGTGGAACCCGACTGTATTGGAAGCGGCGAGTTGGTCGTCAGTGCGAGGGTGACTTGGAGGAGGTCATGTGAAGAGGAGATGAAAACGTATGGACAGATCCAATTAAGAAAAGTAATTATATGAGTACTCTGTGGGATAACTGTCATGTCGTGTACATGGGTTAAATTAGAAGGTTGGGGTCGGTTAGATAGATTATCGGGACATATAGGAACTTAGATAGATCTAGAATAACTAACCTTACTAAGTCAAGTCAAATAATCTTGAAAAAACACTCAGCCATTTTAATGCATTCACTTGTGCATGTGATCAACACTCAGTAGGGTGAGGTGGGATGAAAGTATTAAAAAGGTAACATGGTTAGGTAGGTAGGTAGGTAGGTAGAGAGAGAGAGGTAGAGAGAGAGATTAATCGCCGAATCCTCGTCCATCGAATCAACAGCAAACAAGTATAGAATCGAAATGACTCAACACCTGTCTATCAGAGAGGTGTGTGGAAAATTGCAATAAATAACAAGAGGGCGGAGGGAAAATATATATGAAGCAATTTGTCAAGTTGTGTGGATTATTCACTGAGATATGACATTGAACAATGAATTGTACTTGAGACGTCATCCATTATTCCGTTATCAAAACTGTATCAGTGTATGTTATATAAAATAAACTTATCTAGTGTGATCAGTTAGTAGATTATTTTTTGTTAGGCGGTTAAGAGTTTAGAGAGGATAGTGAAGTCATAGGGGATGTCGTCCTTCAACTGTGTTATTTTAGTGAAGCCAGAAATACGTCTATTCTCTGCTAGAGCGGCCTGCTTAAATCAATTAGGTACCAGGATTCGCGTCCATCGCAATGCTTAAACTTTTCTGCATTTCTTATGCTTTTAATCGTGCAATTATATTTTATATGAACGGTACGTGAACTCGCCCGCCAATCTAATTATATATATTATAAACAAACCCTGTATTAAGAGGGAATATTTTGGAAATAAATACGCTGAAAATATCTGTAATATATGTTGACATATTGTCTGAAATAAAACTTTATTATTTATATTATTTATTTATTGTTCCCTTGGGTTCCTAGTGGAACATTGGTCTTCAACTACACGTCTCCACTTGCTTCTGTCTTCTGCTGTACTTTTCTCCTGCGTCCATGTTAATCCATACTGTTTCAGCTCCTCTTCACACGATCTCCTCCATGTCACCCTTGCACTGACGTCCCACTCGCCGCTTCCCTTTCGAGTTCCACTCGAGCATTGGCCTGACGCGCGATGTCACCCAGTGAGTGGCCTCCTCAGGGAGTGAGTGTCCAATCCATCTCCACTTTCTCCTGCATATTTGTTGGGCGATTGGTTCTTGATTTGTTTGTTCCCATAGTTTCTTGTTGGTGATTCTTTCGAGCCATCTGATTTTGAGTATAGAGCGAAGACAGTTAGTTGTTGATAAAGGTCTGGAACAGGCTGTTGGAGATATTCTTTTTGACCCGCTGCCAACTTTCTGATCCCTCCGTATAGAAGAACTGACTGACTTGACTGACGTTTGTATTGAAAATCCGAATTTTGTTGTTGATGCTGGCTGGGTTGAGTGACGAAGATTTCCAGATTGGCTTCAGGTTGATGAATGTGTTTCTCGCCTTCCCGATTCCCGATTTGACATCCTCGTCCGTTCCATCTTCCTGTAGTTGAGAGAATCCCTCCCGTTGATGGTGATTGGCGCTGGATATTGTTGCTGTTGTTGTTGTTGTTGGCTATTTTCATAACCTCCGTCTTGTCTATGTTCACCTGGAGTCAGTCCTGTCTTTGCTGCTTCTTCAACCAGTTTGTCGGTTTTCGCTTGTAAGTCTTCGATTTTGTGTGACATCAAACATAAATCATCCACACGCGAAATCCAGGTCTTCTAGATTCTTCACGTCGGTCCAGGATATCTCTGTCTTTTTTGGTGTGGTTGTGTTCTCTGAGCTGGATGGTTTGGTTGCGAAGCTTTCATTGCTCTACTGAGCAACATCTTCAGCGCATACTTCGATGTGAAGTGAGCTTTTAGAATTCTCTATGAGTTTATTAGTCATCTCTTCTAGTAACCTTGAACGTGATTGGTTGTTTTCGTGTGACATTTCATCCCCTAGTTTGCTTGTCTCGGTGCTGGCTGCTTCTTTGGTCTGAATGTCGTTAGTCATTCCTCCTGCTAACCTTGAACGTGATTGGTTGTTTTTGTGTGACTTCTCACTTTCTAGTTCACTTGTTTTGGTGTTGACTGTTTCCTTGACCTGAAGTTTGACTTTGTTTTTGTGTGAATTTCTTTGTATGGATTGGTATATTTTGTCAATCTCTATGTGTCTATTGATTGCTGATTCACTTGAATACCAGGCCTCTAGGAATTCTCTGGCATTTTTGCAGTTCCCTTTGTCTAAGATTTGAACATTGTCCCAGTCGAATTGGTGCCCGTGGTTGTCTGCATGTAGTGATATGAGGGAGTGTATGTCGTGTCTTTTGACAGCTAGTTTGTGTTCGTGAATGCGAAGACGAAGAGGGCGTCCACTTTGACCAATGTAATGTTTGTCGCAGTCGTTGCAATTTATCTTGTAGATGACGTTAGTTTTGTCTTCTTTTGCCGTTGAGTCCTTTGGCTTACATAGAACTGAGTGTAGTGACTTTGTTGGTTTATGAGCGACATCGATTCCAAAAGGTTTGAATAGTCTTGCAGTGATTTCGGAGATATCTTTTATATATGGTAGGACGACTTTCTTTGTGTTTTCGCTGGTGGCCTTTGATTTGGTTGGTTGAGCTGGGGGTAGATGTCTTTTGATGAAGTTTCGTGGGTATCCATTTCTTTGGAAGACGTCCATAAGATGATTTTCTTCAGTTTTCCTCAAGGCAGGAGTGCTGCAATGAGTCCTGGCTCTCTTGAACAATGTACGTATGCAGCTAATTTTGTGTGATGTTGGGTTGTTACTGTTGTAATTGAGTATTTGATCCGTGTGCGTTGGTTTTCTGTATACTTGGGTTTCTAATTTTCCTGTTCTCATAATCCAGTCCAGTTCACCACAATTATGAATATCATTGGTGATAATAAGCACCCTTGTCTGACTCCTGTGTTTACTCCAAACGACTCGCTGAGTTTTCCGTTGTAGATGACTTGACATGTGCCGTTGTTGTACAGCTGTTGAATAAGGTTGATGAATATTTGGAGTACGCGGTAGTACTCGAGTAGTTTCCAAATTACTTCGCGGTCAACGCTGTCGAAGGCCTTCTCAAAGTGTATAAAGTTGAGGTAGAGGTTTGATTGCCATTCCATGCTTTGTTCTGTGATGATGATGCGTAGAGTTGCAATTTGGTCAGAACATGATTTGCCTTTCCTGAATCCAGCTTGTTCTGTTCGGAATTCTGCATCCGGTGCGTCCTTTATTCTCTCCAGGATGATGTGACTCAGAATTTTACTTGGCGTCGACAGGAGCATGATTCCTCGCCAGATCTTGCAGAGTCCTAAGTCGCCCTTCTTTGATAGTTTCACGAGGTAACCTTTCCTCCAGTAAGTGGGCACCTTTCCCTCCTTCCAGACTTTTTGCAATAATGAAGCCAGCATATTATTATTAAACTGATTAGACGTATAGATTTCTTTGAAATACAACTAATCTCTCAGAACAGATTGCTAGATGAAGTCTTTAATTTCAATCCAATGGTGTTTCATGGATGGACAGTAAAAGAACTTACTAGAAATTCATAATTTCTAAGAAATAACGTCTGATAGATACTCTTTGCACAAAGGTGGATTTCTTAGCTCAATAGCTTTGGTGGGTGCTTCTTTTGAGGTCTTTTTGAAGTTCCACTACCAGCCAACATCTATCAAGTATCATGAAGTACAATAAGGTAGAATTAAATTCAATAGTAATCTTATTAAAGTATGACATTAATCCATTAAGTTCCTAATATTTTGATCTAAACATATTGCAGAGGTGTAGTCTACTGTCAGATTAAGCTTTCTCGAGGCTTTGGAAACCTAATGATTGATAATGTGTGAGGTTTCAAAATTAATCCTTCATTTGATCGCATGATTTTGTTATTTTTCATTCTGTTTTGTCTTCTTCTTCTTCTATCAGGGTTCACTTAGAATATTCCCAAAATTACAAGAAAACAGTCCTTTCAAAAGAGATCTATCATTGCGTCTTGAAGGTGTGCCTTCAAATCTACGACGATTGACCGGGATGATCCAGGGTAGGTTTCAATCGGTTTGATGAGAGAGAATTAATTATTGATTTACCTGTTAAATTGGTGGTTTTTGTTGAATTTTTTAATTGTGCTCATATTTACTAGTCTTCTCACCATGTTCGAATCCCTATGACAACATCTCAGGATTTCTTTAAGGTTAATTAATGGTTGTTAACAATCACAAGGTGGTTACATGTAAATTTATTTCAGACACTTAATATTTGAAAATTTCATTGTAGTATCCTACTTTTCTTCCAGATCACTGACAACATTTGACACTTTACCAGTAAATAGTCTTCTATCGGTGCTTGATGTCCACAGTGTCCATAATCGGTTAGTCAGAACTTGGCTCACATTTGAACTACCGGGTTAATAGCCGCACTTATTGTGTGTGAGAGAGCTGACGATGTAACAACAGAAGACAAGGGTCAGGAAACAGATCGTTTATTAAGGAAAATCACATATTTATAGATTTTAATGTACATTATTGTTAGTAGAAAATACAGTCTTTTGATTGGTTGTTTCTCACAGAAAGTTAACCTTGCATCTCTTTGTGGCTGTGTCAGATCATCTATATGCTAACTGTATCCGCCTACGCAAAGCCTTTGTTCTCATTTTCTCACCACAAATATATTGGGGACATAAACATTGACGTCAATTACTGTCTACCAACTTTGGCTAGCAGCCAGCTCTCACCACAATGATACCTACCTAATCATTCAGGTGGAGTTAGTTTCGAATCTGAGTACTCGCTAAGTCGCAAGGCTAATTAAACTACATCTTCACAGTCTCTACAATCTGATAGCTGACTGATTCTTACATGTCTTTTGGTTTTGGTTACAAACCAATAGGATTTTAGGATGTTTGTTGTTCCTTTTTGAGATCATTATTTTATCCATTATGTTAATTATGCCTCTTTATACTTTATATATATGTTAGATCGATTCCGTATTACAAAAACATATCAATAAGAACAACCATACCGTTAAGAAAGGTTTTGCAGGGCATTATTTTCAAGTATTAGTTTTCTAGGGATTTTGTGTTTGATTGCATGGAGGATTTCATTCATCATGAGCTGACATCAGTTAGAGAACCACTGGACAACCTACAGGGAGTACTGGACAACTGTTTCGTCGGCCTAGTTTGGGACTCTTCATCAGCACGTGCCCACCACCGGGGTTGGAACCCAGGACAACTAAGCGTGATCATTTTGTCCAAAATATATTTCACAAATACATCACATTTTTCAGATAAACTCTGTCTTCCAATAACGTTAACGGGACTAACCGTTTTTCCAACTGTTGAACCAGGAAGAGTAAAAATCACTCGTATATGCGAAATATACAACAGTTCAACAAGACCGTAAAATGTACTATATACAGTTTGTAAACAACCCTACAGTCATGAATGTCATTAAATATAAAAAAGACAGTATTGCATAATCACAGGTGCGAGTGTCCAGGATCCAGAAACAGTGGAACAGTATGGAAATAGAAAAGTCCTTTCAACCTTAGTAAACTTGACAGGTAAACGAAATAATCCTCAAGGCAAGATTAAAGTTACACCACCGGATCTGTCTTTCCTCATTAAACAAAACAAACGCAATAAACAGTAAAAAGTCGCAATCGCTATATACAATTACATGATATTGACAAGCAGTTGACACAACCAGCTCGTAGACCATTGATCCACTGGGATGCTAGAATGTCAGATTCGAACCCGCGTCACCCAGTGAGTACTGTAGTCAGAGACGTTACCACTGTGCTATTCGGGCTCGCGATCTATTCTGCATATGAGTACAATCAGGTATTCGACAAAGTAAAAGCAGAAAATGTTATTTTTTCTCTCTAGGAAGTGTGGCAGACTACTTTTATTCAGGACACTCAGCTTCTAAATGCTTAATAAAAATTGACTTGGTCAAAATGAATAAACTACCAAATGTAAAATATTTACACTTTTATTCTTTTACTATCGATTTCTTGATTACGTAACATGATTACATCGAGTTGATGTTCACCGTGTTTAAAATTATTTATACACTTTGATAATTTATGCAATATTTGTATAAAGTGATGGTGAACTTTTAAAAGTATGTTTTTGTGAGTGTTTCAATTTTATCTCTTGCTTTATGCATCATCTATCTTTATTGATAGATAGTAAGCTAAAAGGAGGAGAGGAGGAAAAAGCAAATCAATTTTGTACCGAAAGTATCATTTATGTTATTACTCTACTATTGTTCATATCTTCTTTCTTTTTTTTTTCAAGTAATTTTTCCCAAATTTTAAATTACTGATTGAAGAGTTAATGTAACAAACACTTTCTACACACAGAGGTAGACAAAAAACTGAGTAAAGACAATCAATAGAGTTTTGACAAGTATAAGAGTGAAACAGAATCAGTAATGGTAGAAAGAAATATGAGACTGAATATTACAGAGACTGGATACATCTTCGTAAGCCATTGACAACGATTTTGAGCCATGTCACCTATTGGCCGCCTCCAGCCATTGATTGATTCTTAGAGTCCCGAGGGCGGGCCCCAACGCGGAAGTCCGCATCTCCCTACCTGACCTGACTCAGTTTAACTGTCAAGGATTTCGTGGATTGATTGATGCCATGGTTTTGTTTGGCCACCAATTACTTTTTTCCAACGTGCACCTATATCAGCTAGTAATGCCCGTCGGGGTGGGGGAGGCGATGGTTAGGCATGCACAGCACGTGACCTAGCCATCTCAATCTGTGTAACTTTATAGCCTCGTCGATTGATTGATTTTCCCTCTTTGCACAACCAACACTCTACGTCTAACGTCAACATTACTTACCTTACTATACGACCTAACGTAGTATCCTTAACTGAACTTAACGACTTAGGACTTAACGACTTAACTTCCTAAGTGGATCGTAGCAATAGTCATTGATTTTATCAGTTGGCTCTGTGTTTTTCGATCTGACCACCCATATTATTTTTGTGAGCTAATCCTATATCTACTGACATTACTCTGCGAAGGAAACAAGCACTCAAAATGCATAATACTACATGCTCCACTCACCAGGACAAATGATCAACAGATGAGGTCTGATAAGGATATTCCACAGCACACTGTGCTTACTGCCCCGTAGATATATTGTTTAAAGGATTTCATTTATTAGACTTTATTTTCGTGTTAGAGGCAAAAATCTCTGTTTGCTGTGAACTCCCATACAGTCTTAAAGTTTCTTTGATGACAAAGTTATCTAAGGCAGCTTAGCTTTAGATCTTTATCTCATCCCTTGGATTCTGAGTGGAATAATGAGCGCCAAGAATATTGAGGTTCCACCTCTAGCCATCCTTTTTTTCCAGGATTTCTACTAAATAGCAAACTGAGCGAGATTCAGGTGTGTCGACCGGGAAGTTGGAACCGAATCTCCTGTGTGAGACGGGTGAGGATTCCGTCATTAATAATTGAAATGAAACTAAGATTTAGAAAGCATTTGGGTCTCTTTTATAATTAGTTGTTAGTTAAATTGGTGGCTGTTGTTGAACGAAGGTATACTTCTTTGATTAAAAACAGAGTTCGTTAAAAAGTTGTAACAAAATTATTAATTTTCATCATTTTGGAAGTGGAAGTGTGTGGGCGGTTGTTACTTCCCGGCTGCCCACACTGTGAAAGTTGATTGATTGATTCTTTGGGTACCTAACCGTAGAGCCCAGGGGACAGATGCTTGAGACCGGTCATATACGGCCTGTATGAACTGGTTTCTGAGATCGCTTCCGTATTAGTAAATTTACCGCCGGTTATGGACCAACGTAGGATAAGTCAAGATGTACAATCTTTGGGGTCATCGACCTTTTCTAACCCCCTCTCTCCATAGTGAAGAGACAGCATAGCTGGCTGGCATGCTGGTCGTCTGAGGGAAACACCTTACTGCTGTTACATCCCTGTTCCCCAGCAGCACGACTTCGCTCACAGATCCCTCCAGATCACACTATGCCGGTAACTGCTTTTAGTCTAATCACTATCCTAACAACCTTCCTGGCATGGTGGGACCTGCAGGAACAATAGTTGCAGTTACTTTGTAGCTTGTTGGGTCATTGCGATATGCAAGCCCGGCGGCCACCACGTCAAGGTAGCAACTGTTGATCGGGTTTTCATCATTTAGATTGTAAGCAGTTGGTATAATGTGATACCGACGAAATGAGAAATGGATCCATTCTATTCTGGTTTATTGTCTTATTATTGCTTTGTTCAAATTATACTTCACTTCAGAGGGTATTTTAGCCTGTATTAGTACTCACATGTTGCTTCATATTCATGAGTTAAAACACTGAAATATTTGACTACTTCTAACTTACTACTGGGTTCATGTAATAGAACCAGGACTGCATATGCAGATGTTTTCTTACTAACTTATCATGGACTCGATAACTACAAAATATAGCGAAAAGCAACAAGTTGGCAGAAGAAGCATCCTGAGAAAATAGGACTTCAAGTGAACATAGAGGAAACAGAGGTGATGACGATTCCTGAGCAACACCACCAACAGCAACAACAACAACAGACAACAATCAGCATAAATGGAAGGAACCTGAAAGAAACAACCTCCTTTACCTACCTACCTTCCTACCTACCTGGGAAGCATCGTCTCAACTACAGGCGGGCGGAACTGACGGGGATATCAAAGCAGCGAGGATGGGAAAAGCAAGACAAGCTCTCACTACTCTCAAGTCTGTGTGCAGGACGTCAACAGCCCTACTCAGCATGAAAACGAAGATAAGATCGGGATTTTCAACTCCAATGTGAAGTCAGTCAGTGCTACTCATTATACGGATGGATCAGAGACTTGCACTGCACGTCATAAAGACCATCTCAAACAAACTACAGACCTTCATCAACAGCTGTCTTCGCTCAATACCACTCAAGATCAGATGGCCGGCCGGCCAGAAAAGATCAGCAACAGAGAGGGATCTCTGGCAATGAGCGAACCAACTGAGCAGGAACCGATTGTGAAACAAATAAGCAGGAAGAAATGGAGATGGATTAGCTGGCCATACTCTGAGGAAACCATCAAGTGACATCACACACCACACTATCGCTCGAGTGGAACCCGAAAGGGAAACGGCGAGGTGGTCGTCAGTGGAGGGTGGGTGACTTGGAGGAGGTGATGTGAAGAGGAGATGAAAACGTGTGGGCAGACTTGGAGCCAGGTGGAAACATTGGCAGAGAACTGAACGCAGTGGAGACGCGCGGTTGAAGCCCTATGTTCCTCTAGGAATTAAAGGAAACAATAATATAATAATAATAGCTTTTCAATAATAAAATCTCTTTTTTCTACCTTTTGTTTTAGGTGCACCTATAGCTGAGGAACCAGATGTTGACTTTGAATCACACTTTATAAAAAATAATGAACAAATAGAGAAAAAAGAATCAGCTAAAACAACAACCAATCAGTCGATTGCCTTTCCGTCTGTCAACGGTTTAGCTATAACAACTCAGCCTGTTGCACCCAGTATCAGTATCCCATTGATAGTAGGCAACAATCAAACCGCTGATCCTAAAACTTCACAAGCATTTATGCCAGTTTTCACTGATCCTTTTGCTGCTGCTCCTGTCAATCCAGCTACAATACAACAACATTATCAAATGGAATTACAACAACAGAAGGTTCAACAGCAGCAACAACAGCAACAGCAACAACAAATTATGCTCTCTCCTTTATTAAATACCAAGGTATGTGTATTTTTATCTAATTAGCTGTGTTAGATTTACATTTAAGCGAGATTTATTATATTACACTCTTGATCAAAGAAACATGCTGAATTTAGCTTCTTTAAGAGTTATTCTGTAGGGATTTGATATGTTTTAAGGTTGACCACGCATTAAATTTTAAGCGTCGGTGGCATAGCGGTTAGGACGCTCGTCGACCATGCACATGGTCCGGGGTTCGATCCCTGGCCACAGACGCACTTCTTTACCTCACTAAGCAAGTAATGAAAAAGCTGGTAAAGAGGAAAGGTTGGGCATGAGGCTAGCAACCCCATCCTGTAAAATAAATACCACTGCTACAGAAACTTCAAGCCACTAGCTTGAAGCCTTGTGTTCCACTGGGGAACGTGAAGGAAAAGAAATACGCATTGATATCAGTTGGAGAACCATTGAAAACCAGCACTGGAGTACTGGACAACTGTTTCGTTGTCCCAGTTTGTGTGACACTTTGGTAGTATACATGCATGACACCTCACTGCCGGGGATCTTAAGCTAACGAGTTTTTTTTCATAGCTTATTTGCATTTCCCTTTGAGTGTGATTATGTTCAACTGAACTGCTCGATCTCTATTGCCAAAGAGAGGTGACTCCCGTAGCCCTAGTGGCCTACGGGGTGGGGACAATGAATGAGTGTTTTAGCGTGTGAATCAGTGGGTGGGTGGGTACAAACCTTGAGTCTCCGTGGGGGAACACCATCAATCACTGATGATTGCGCTTGTACACCTGGCTGACGAGTCTGACAAATAGGGATGTAGTGCTGCATATCCTGAATTCCACTGCTAGTCATCATCCACCAAAATAGTATCATGTTGATCCTCAGACATCATTGAACCGTCCGTACCATGCACATGGTCCGGGGTTCGATCCCCGCCCATTGACGCACTCCTTTACCTCACTAAGCCAGTAATGAAAAAGCTGGTAAAGAGGAAAGGTTCGGCATGAGGCAGGCTAGCAACCCCATCCTGTAAAAAATAATCACCACTGCTACAGAAACTTCAGACCTCTAGCTTCAAGCCTCCCTATGTTCCACTGGGAACGTGAAGGAATATAAGAAAAAAAATCAAGGGGTTAAATCAAACCTCACTGACTTCAGCAAATATAAACTGATACCCTTTGGATAAGAGATGGTGGCTCTCTTGACCACCTAAGTGGTTCACTAGATGATAATGGATGCCTTGCGGTTTGAAACTATGGGTGTCACTGATGGGAACACCATCACACTCACTGGAGGATTGCAGATACACACAGCCACTTCTGACACTTGTTCGATAAATTTCAAGTTCCCACAAACTGGAAGATATGCAAGTGAAAAACAACAGGTTGGCAGAATAAGCATCTAGGGTAGATAAGACTTCAGGTGAACATAGAGAAAACAGAGGTGATGAAGATTCCTGGGCAACACCACCACCACCAACAACAACAATCAGCCAGCATAAATGAGGGGACCCGGAAAGAAACAACCTCCTTCACCAACCGACCTGGGAGGCATCTTTTCAACTACAGGCGCACGGAACTGACGATGATATCAAAGCAAGAATCGGATAAGCGAGACAAGCTTTCACTACTCTCAAGTCTGTGTGCAGGAGGTCGACAGCATTCAGAGTCAAAACGAATATAAGATCCGGATTTTCAACTCCAATATGAGGTAAGTCAGTGCTACTCACTATACGGATGGATCAGAGACTTGCACTGCGCGTCATGAAGAGCATCCCAAACAAACTACAGACCTTCATCAACAGCTGGTGGTCTTCGCTCAATACCACTCAAGATCAGATGGCCGATCAGAAAAGATCAGCAACAGAGAGGGATCTCTGGCAATGAGCGAACCAACTCATCAGGAACCGATTGTGAAACAAATTGGCAGGAAGAAATGGAGGTGGATTGGCTGGTCATACTCTTAGAAAACAAACCATCAAGTGAGTGACATCACTAGACAAGCCATCGCTCGAGTGGCCCCCGAATGAAAGGGGAGCGGCGAGTTGGTCGTCAGTGTGAGGGTGGGTGACTTGGAGGAGGTGATGTGAAGAGGAGATGAAAGCGTATGGGCAGCCTTGGAGCCAGGTGAAGACTCTAACAGAGAACCGAACGCAATGGAGACGCACGCACGGCTGAAGCCGTATGTTCCTCTAGGAATTAAAGGAAACAATAATAATAATAACATTGAGGATTGAATAGTAAGTGAGTAACTTAAATTATCATTTGGCGACTAATTCATATTATGAAAAATGTTTTAGTTTCACAATGATTTCTACGTATTATAACATTCAAGATGATGTTGATGATGATGTATTCGTATTGCGTGTGGGTTTGTAAAGTACATCCCCTTGGTCTCTTAATGTGTATACATGTGATATAATAATAACAGTAGTAATAATGATAAATGATAATATGCTACTGGTTTATATTATATCTACCCACTTTACAATTGGATATTTTGAATCGAACATATAAATAATTAATGTCAACAGATTTGATGATATAATTTTCGATCAACATTTTAAATTGTGAAACCGGAAGTATAAGGCGGATAGGAATTGATACAGGATGTTGGCATGTATGTTGTACGCTTCTCTGAAATATATATATATATATATTGCTTTGTTTATTTGTAAGTTTCATTGACTTAATTTGTTACATTATGCATACATACATACATATAGTAGATTCTTTTCTCACTATTAATAGCTTCAGGGGATTCAAAATTGTTTCTAAAGCCGTTTAGAGATATGCTCTCTGAAGACCTTACCTACAGAGATCGATGAGTCCTCTCTATGTGTCTGTAACCATACATAAAAATTTAAATTGGAGATACAATGGGATCTAACATCATCTTATTATTACTATAATTGTTGTTTCCTTTAAGCCCTAGAGGAAAATAGGGCTCAAGCCGCGCGTCCCCATTGCGTTCGGTTCTCTGTTAGGGTCTTCCTTCACCTAGCTCCAAGTCTGCCGAGTTTCACATACGCTTTCATCTCATCTTCACTTGACCTCCTCCAAGTCACCCACCCTCACACTGACGACCAACTCGCCGCTTCCCTTTCATTCGGGTTCCACTCGAGCGATAGTCTGGCGTGTGATGTCACTCACTTGATGGTTTGTTTTCTAAGAGTATGACCAGCCAATCAACCTCCATTTCTTCCTGTCCATTTGTTTGACAATCGGTTCCTGCTGAGTTGGTTCGCTCATTGCCAGAGATCCCTCTCTGTTGCTGATCTTTTCTTATCGGCCATCTGATCTTGAGTGGTATTGAGCGGAGAAAACTAGCTGTTAATGAAGGTCTGTAGTTTGCTTGAGGTGCACTTTTTGACGCGCAGTGCAAGTCTCTGATCCATCCGTATAGTGAGTAGCACTGACTGACTTCACATTGGAGTTGAAAATCCGGATCTTATTTTCAGTTTGATGCTGAGTAGGGCTGTCGACCTCCTGCACACAGACTTGAGAATAGTGAAAGCTTGTCTTGCTTTCCCGATTCTTGGTTTGATATCCTCGTCAGTTCTGCTGGCCTGTAGTTGGTAGGTAAAGGAGGTTGTTTCTTTCAGGTTCTTTCCATTTATGCTGATCGTTGTCTGTTGTTGTTGTTGCTGCTGTTGGTGTTGGTCAGGCATCTCCATCACCTCTGTTTTCTCTATGTTCACCTGAAGGAAGTCCTATCTTCTCTGGATGCTTCTTCTGCCAACTTGTTGCTTTTCGCTTGCCTATCTTCCAGTTTGTGGGGAAAACAGACATCATCTTGCGTATGTTCTATTAGGTTAGAGGGATATATAGACTTCATATTTTAAATTATCTGGACATTAGTTGTATGAAGCTACTATGATCACTTACATGGTGTAGTTTGACATACAAATCCTTCGTAGCAGCGAGTTGGCGAATGGGTCTTGGTGTTCTCGTCGTGATCATACGCAGGAGACTCATCAATCTCTGCAAGTAAGGGGGGCTTCAGAAGCACATTTTTAATCCGCTGAATCCATTAATACTGAAAACAGGCAGACAATCTAACTCTTTTATTTGACAAACATTGTTATAGATAAAGGGCATAAAATTCATGTTTTACACTTCTGTTTTTAAACCATAATTGATGCCTGTAGACTCAGCCTCCTGTGAACGCTGTTTCAACTACCAATTCTACACCGGCTTCACCATTTTTGGGTGGACCACCTATAGCCGCTCCAGCTGTTGTTTCCTCTGCATATAATAACTCTACTCCATGGGCGACTGCATATTCACCACCGCAACAATTCAATAGATCTTCAACTCTACGCAATACACTCCCAGTTAATTCTCATTTCATGAATACAGGAATTGTTATTTCACAATCGAATTTTAGTAATCCTGTGAGTAGTGTAATAAAACCAGGTGAGTGAAACAGTTATATTTTTTTTTTCGTATATCTTTTTTTTATATGCGCTTCTTTCTAAACTATACTGTATGCAGTACATGTTTTTTTTTATCTCGGATAAAATTATTTATCTGGAAAAACAATATATGACCTGAAATACACTGAAGGATTTGAGTTCAGTGATTGATTGATTGATTTTTATCAGATTGACCTTTATCAGTTGTATTATTCAGATCACCTTAAAAATAAGATTGCATATCTGTTAGCCTAATATGACTACTATCTTGTTACCGTTCTTCCTGAGAGCTAAATGGTTTTTTTTTGTTTTTTTTTTAACGAACTTTCCATATCCAACCTGGAAGGCATTCATTTTGAGAACAAGCTGGAATTTGAAAATGTAGTTGACCACCACCTTGGCTCTTATCGCTCTGCTTTTTTGTCTTAACATCGCTGAGACGTCATTTTCACTCTAATCCCCATAGGGTACAGAAGAAACAGATGGGAATAAACCATTGTTTGAATATATATTAAAGCGTAAGATTCAATGAGCTAGGGATATTCGTTAAAATTCCTTGTTTTGCCATGCGCCTGTTTTTAACCCCCATCACCCACCTTTGGATGAAACGTGAAGGTCAGTTTTCAGAACCTCGTCAAAGTTGTGAAGTCTGTTTCAAGTTTTAGTCAGAAAAAAGTCTCTGAGCATATAATACCTTACCTTTAAGAGTATTTAATAGAAAGTGAAGTGGTAGAGCCCGTTGACCGCTTCACTTACTTGGGAAGTACCATCAGCCCCAACGGGTTGATCTCTGACGAAATCTCTGCAAGAATACAGAGGACTAGTTTCGCATATGCCAGTTTACGCCGTCTCTGGCGTAGACGTGATACCCAACTATCGACCAAAGGGCGTGTGTCAAGGAACTTAGCCCTAAGTTCCTATTGTAATGAAGACTTAAGTGATTGAACTGATAAATACTATGTACGATCTCCAACTTTAAATCCAAAACATCAGTATTCCTTGAACGAAATTATATTGTTTGGCAATTAAAGTGAAGAAAACTACAAAGTCTACAAACAAATGTTAAGTACAAATGAAGTTATAAAGTACTTTTATTCGTATTTAACTCCAGTCTTCCTTCAACTTGCAAGCGATCGACCATTTGCGCCTTTCAGTTGCCCATTAATGGCTGCCAGATCCAATAAAACAATTGTTTAATGTTCACGTCCATTGACAGCGTGTGTACTGCTCATCAGTCCGCTCCGTCCTCCAATATGGCCAGCTGTGAGACCTGGCCATTGAGAGCAGAAGACATGAAAAGATTAGCTGTATTTGATCATAGGTATCTGCGTTCTATCTCCCGTGTGAAGTGGTATAATAGGGTGAGCAATATTGAGGTGAGGCCTCGGTCGAGTGCTTGGTAAGGAGGGAAAATCAGTCGATATGGCTGTGAAAATACATCGACTGAGATGGTTAGGACATGTGCCTAGTCATGCCTAGTCATCCATCGCCTTCCTCGACAATGGGCAATGTTAGCTGATATAGGGCCAGGCTGGAAAAGAGCTAGCTAGTGGCGGTCAAACCAAAACATGGCTTCATCAGTCAATGAAATCTACAACAGTTAGTCTAAGCCAGCCAGCCAGCCACGTAGGAAGGTGTAGACTGGCTTCCTGACTGGTTGGGGTCCTCGGGACGGTAAAAACCAATGGTTGGAAACAATTGGTGACATGGCTCAAATTCGTTTTCAATGGCTGTCGCAGATGCATCCACTCCTTGTGACTTATGATTTCCAATGAAACTGTTCTGTTGTGTTCTTCGTTATTACTATTCCTTTGTCTCACACCTCTGTTTACTGTCTATATTGTGCATTTCTACTTTCTTCTGTTGCTTTGTGTGCTACAAGGAGGGAGTGTGGCGACTTGAACTGGTGCACATTAGTGCAGAGTTCTATGTCGAAATCAGGCAGACAGACAAGAGTATTTAAAGCAGCAATTAAATAAAAACCTATACGTTTAAGTAATTTAAACACATATCATCATTTGGAAACCAGATGTAGTTTCATAAGACCAAATCGGATATTGGGAGCTGCAGTTTATAAGAAGAGAAAGCAATCATATCAGAGTTAGCTATGAACTAAGGTGGCATTTTAAATTCTGAAGTTCTTTTTTGGTTTTTTACTCTGTTTTTGATATCGTTCTGTTGTATTGTACTCATTCTTTCTTTGTGTATTCTTATGGGATTACTGTGGTAGCTTCACATCTGTTGCACTTCTCAACTTGTTTCTGCGGTTGTCTTACAATTGCAACTAAATTTTTGTATAGCTGTGTAGAATCATCTTGAGCAAGTATCATCAGGCGTATTTTTTTCAAATGTCTAATGTGTAGACGCAGAAAAATCATCAGTCTCAGTGATACAAAATCTCTGCAGTTTTGACATTCTTGGCATCGTCTTCCACTGATCCGGTTTACCCACTGCGTGTATCTTTGATATCGCGGAATTATATGTCAGACTTGTGTTATCACGTGTTAACTCTTAAATATTCTGTCTCAATCCGCTGCTGACTTTAGTTTGTATATATACCACCACCAGTTTGTTAAACACCCGATTGGAGGGAGAGAAGAGTAAGTAAGAAGCTCAGAAACACAGATATCTTTTTTGGAAGTTTCATTCTCAAAAGCCATACACTCTCATTTTTATACATAAGTTTATTATTATTATTGTTCCCTTGGGTTCCTAGTGGAACATAGGGCTTCAACTGCACGTCTCCACTTGCTTCTGTATTCTGCTGTACTTTTCACCTGCATCCATGTTAGTCAATACTGTTTCAACTCTTCTTCACACGATCTCCTCCATGTCACCCTTGCACTGACGTCACACTCGCCGCCGCTTCCCTTTCGGGTTCCACTCGAGTTATGCCGAGCCTGACGCGCGATGTCACCCAGCGAGTGGCCTCCTCAGCGAGTGAGTGTCCAATCCATCTCCACTTTCTCCTGCATATTTGTTGGGCGATTGCTTCTTCTTTTCTTTGTTTCTTCCCATAGTTTGTTTCTTGTTGGTTCTTGTTCTTTCCGGCGGCCATCTGATCTTCAGTATAGAGACAGCGAAGACAGTTAGTTGTTGATGAAGGTGTGCAACAGGCTGTTGGAAATATTCTTTGTGATCCGTGATCCGTATAGAAGAAGTGACCGACTTGACGTTTGTATTGAAAATCCGAATTTTGTTGTTGATGCTGAGTTAAGTGACAGTGGAAGATTTCTAGATTGGTTTCAGGTTGATGAATGTGTTTCTCGCCTTCCCGATTCTCCATTTGACATCCTCGTCCGTTCCACCTGCCTGTAGTTGAGACAATGCTCCCTAGATAAGTGGATGAAGTAAGCTCTTTCAAATCCCTTCCGTTGATGGTGATTGGTGGTGGATGTTCCTGCTGCTGTTGTTGTTGTTGTTGGTTGGTTATTTTCATAACCTCCGTCTTGTCTATGTTCACCTGGAGTGCTGCCTATCTTTCCTGCTTCTTCGACCGAGCAGTTTGTCGGTTTTCGCTTGTAAGTCTTCGATTTTGTGTGACATCAAACATAAATCATCCACGCACGAAATCCAGGTCTTCTAGGTTTTTCACGTCGGTCCAGGCTATCGCTGTCTTCTCGTTTCCCACTGTCTGTCGCATAATCCAGTCCAGTCCACCACAATGAGGAATATCATTGGTGATAATAAGCACCCTTGTCTGACTCCTGTGTTTACTCCAAACGCCTGGCTGAGTTTTCCGTTGTGGATGACTTGACATGTGCCGTTGTCGTACAGCTGTTGAATAAGGTTGATGAATATTTGGAGTACGCCGTAGTACTTGAGTAGTTTTCAAATTACTTCACGGTCAACTCTTTTGAAGGCCTTCTCAAAGTCTATGAAGGAAGTTGAGTTAGAGGTTTGATTGCCATTCCATGCATTGTTCTATGATGATGATGCATAGAGTTGAAATTATTGCAACTATTTAATTCAACGTAGTAAAGAAGGAGATTAAAGGAGATGATTTTCGAATTGATATCAAAGTATGAACCCAAAATTTAGATACGTTACGTAGATGACATATTTGTGATAATCAAAAGAAACGAGTTGGATAAAACTCACAACTTAATAAAAAAAAACATCTTCAACGACATCAAATTTACAAGAGAAGAGGAATCTGGGAACACAGTTCCATTTTTGAACGTCTTAGTCATGCGAACAACCACAGGGGAATTAGAAACTCAAGTTTATAGAAAATTAACTCACACGGACCAAATACTCAATTTCAAATGGCAACAATCCAATCATACACAAACGGAATTGTATAAAAACACTATTCAAGAGGGCCAGCCAGGATTCATTGCAGCACTCCTATCGTAAGGAAAATTGAAGAAAGATATCTCATGGACGTCTTCCAAAAGAATGGGTATCCATCGAATTTCATCAAAAGACATTTACCCTCAAGCCAACTTATCAAATCAAAGGCCGCTAAGGAAAGCACAAAGAAAATTTCTATACCATATATGAAGGACATCTTAGAAATCACTACAAGACTCTTCAAACCTTTGGGAATTGACGTCTCACACAGTCCAATAAAATCACTTCACTCAGCCGGTTCTATGTCAACCAAAATATTCAACAGTGGAAGAAGATAAAACCAACATCATCTACAAAATAAATTGTAACAACTGCGAAAAACACTACATAGGCCAAAGTGGACGTCCTCTTCGTCTTCGTATCCACGATCATAAGCTAGCGGTCAAAAGATATGACATCCACTCCATCACTCATATCACTACATACAGACAACCGCGGGCATCATTTCGACTGGGACAACCAACGTTCAAATATTAGACAGAGGAAACAACAAAATTGCTAGAGAATTTTTACAAGCTTGGCATTCCAGTGAATCATCAATCAATAGACACATCGAGATTGACAAAATTTACCAATCGATAAAAATGATCCGTCATACACAAAGGGTGAAAGTTCAAGTTAGGGAAACAATCGGTTCCAATACAA